CTCCATGCTTTCCAGCCAACTTTGAACTTCAAAAATTTAAATGCAATGTCAATTGTTATCAACTGTCATTCTTGCTCCTTAATAATATTTCTCTTTTTTCTTATTCTTGCACATTCAAGAGCCACTTGTGTCAAGGCAGTAAGGCCACTTGTAGCCTTACTGCCTTGCTTGTGGTAAAATGATTTAAAAAAAACGTGACACGCTGATATTGTGCACCATTCAACTAGACCGGTGATTCTCACCTGACATGCCACAGCACACTAATGCACTAAATATTGTCACAACATACATGTGTGTGTGTGTGTGTGTGTGTGTATGGAAGTAGTAATGGTACAGCATTAGTATTTGAATAAATGAAAAAGTATTAACCTTTTTTAAAAATAATTATTTTCACTATTCTTTATGCTATTTTAAATATTTTATTTTAATATTCATTTTTTAAAAAGTATTTTTTTTTAATTCAACTTTTTAAAATTTTCCTTTATTTGAATAAATGATTATTAACTTTATTTTACATAATTGTATTCAACATTCTTTGTTTTATTCAAAATTTTTACAAAGTTATATTGAATTATGAATTAATAATTTTTAAATCTATGGTTTTATTTCATAACATTTAAATGTGTACCCTTTAAAAATTTTGCTAAGTGGTCCATGATATTTTCATTTATTTCAAGGTGTATTGTTGCTTAAAAAGTTTGAAAAATACTTGCATACTGTTTTTTTAAAAAAAAAAAAAATCTGGGATGCGTCTTGACAGAGGATGGCAAGTACAACACTGAGATCCAAAGGTGTATTGGGATGGCCAAGGACACATTCTAAAACCTGGGCAGAGTGCTGTGAGGCAGGAGGATTTCTTTGGTAACAAAGAAAAGAATACTGAACTGTTACGTAACATCTGTGCTTCTTTACAGAAGCGAATGTTGGATGATTTCCTCAAAGATGAAGAGACTCGAGGCGACAGAGATGTTTTACTACAGAAGGATGCTAAGGATATCATGGACTGAGTGTGTGATAAACAATGAGGTTGCAAACAAGGAGGAGGCTTATACTTAATATCAAGAAGAGGCAGCTGAAGTTTCTGGGACACATAATGAGGAAGGAGGGCCTGGAGAATCTGATACTCACAGGTTGAATAGAGGGAATGAGATACAAGGGAAAGCAACATGTGACATACCTGGCAGACTTAAGCAAGTGGATGACAGAACGTAGTCTGGGGGAGGAAGCAGAGGGAAGGAACTTGTTGAGAACTGCAAGGTATAGAGGGAGATGTGGAGAGCTATAATCGTCTATGTCCTGAAAAAACATGACACAAAAAAAAGAAAAGAAAGATGTAAACATAAAACAGATGCATAATTTTCTGTTTTTCTCTCTTTGTTTCCTGCTCTCTCTTTTGTCATCTACTTACCTTCATTGTTCAAGATATGTTCATCGTTTTAATACATCAAAGCTATTATTTATATTAATTGATTTAACATTATGCAACATGTTCATATATTTATATTTCTAAAGAATTAATGGAGTTTTTTTTTTTAAATCCAACATTTTTATTACTCCAAACCTTATTTTTAGTGTATACTCATATTTGAGTTGATGATATGTTTATTTTTTAACATTTTTATTACTCCAAACGTTATTTTTAGTGGATACCCATATTTGAGTAGATGATATGTTTATTTTTAAAATTTTTTATTATCACAAGTTCTTGTTTGATTGTTCTGTTTCCCTTATATCAGCTATTAGTACCTTTTTCATGTATACAACTGAATATATAAAAGTAGACACTGGGGTCAACACCAATCAGTGACAGTCTGTTTCATGCTTGAACGCAATCTTTAGGCATGAAGTTTGCATTCAAGCATGAAACCAAACAGACTGTCACTGCTTGGTGTTGACCTCAGTGTCCACTTTTATATTTACATGTTTTTTAACCAAGTTCACCCCAAGCAAGGCAGTAAAGCCACTAAGACACAAAGAATTACTGGGTGTGGATGAATTAGAACCAAAAACATTACTAAGAAACAAGAACAAAAGATGAGCAATCAAGAAAACAGTAGATAGTCACTGACATTGCATTTAAATTTTTAAAGATTAAAATTGGCTGGAAAACATGGAGGTGGAAAGGAGTTCCACAAGGGAGAGGTGTGAGAAAAGAAACTGTTAGCATAGAATTTACAGTTACATCTAACCAACTCAACTGTAAATTGATGAGACTGTGTCAACAGTCTAGTACTGTATTTAATGTCTAGGTGCCATAGCAAAGAGCTCAAACAGAAGATAACAATTGACAATGCAGTTAAATTTTGAAGATCAAAGTTGACTGGAAACTGGAAGAGAGTTCCACAAGGGAGAAGTGCAAGAAAATAAACTGTTAGCATAGAACTTACAGTTACATCTAGGCCATTTCAACTGTAAAATAACAAGACCTTACTGCCAATCTAGTTCTGTACTTAAATTCATAAAGTCTAGGTACCATGGAGGAAAGTCGATCGGAACAATTACCATGAAATTATTTATAGAAAAGACACAGGGAAGGTACATTATGATCATAATTTTCAAACCCCAGCCTAAAAAGTGCATTATTATAAGTTATTTTTTTTTATAAAAATCTTTATTATAAGTTCATTTTTCTTGTATAATAACATATTTTTTATAACCCAACTCTGCTTAAGATTCAGACTTCATGCTTATACATGAAAAAGGTACTAATAGTTGATATAAGGGAAACGGATCCATTAAAACGAGAACTTGTGATAATAAAAATGTTAAAAAATAAACATATCATCTACTCAAATATGAGTATACACTAAAAATAATGTTTGGAGTAATAAAAATGTTGGATTTAAAAAAAAACTCCATTAATTCTTTAGAAATATAAATATATGAACATGTTGCATAATGTTAAATCAATTAATATAAATAATAGCTTTGATGTATTAAATATTCGTCCTCCAACAATATATATATATATATATTGTCTATAAAGCTACATCAATATACAATATATACTACCTACTTTTCTTAATAAGGAGTCCAATTCAGTTTTTATGCCCTTGAGGCTTCATCTGCTCTTGAAAAATTGAGAACAGTAGGGGAGTTGTAGATGAGGTGGGTGAAAATGTGATGGAGAGAGAACATGACAGATTTTAATGAAAGTAGGGAAAATAATGGGGGTGGGGGATAAATTGAAGAGAAATATGTGACATAGGTAATTACAATATTCTAGTTTTTTATGTTGTATATTTTGGTTTGGATAAAAAGAGTGGAAGAATTTTATATATGGTATAAAAAAGATACTTCACTCAGCTTTAGCTGTATCTATGACTTGCAATTTCTTAGGCACTTGTGGTTTTTAGGGGATCACGCCAACCTCAGGTGATTATATATATATATCTAGCTGCAAGTTCTGTGTGAATAGTTTCTTCTGTAGCACTTCTCACTTGTGGAACTCTCTTCCGGCCTCTTTTTTTCCAATCAACTTTGATCTTCAAAAATTTAAAGGCAATGTCAGTTGTCAACTTCAGTCTACTTACTTCCAATTCTTCTATTGTTCTTGCTCCTTTCATTTTCTGATATTCTTTTACTCTTAGTGGCTTTATTGCCTTGCTTGGGGTGAAATAATAAAAAAAATAAGAATGAGCACTGATGTAATATGTTCTTTTTAGATATTCAGAGAAAATTTATTATATATACTCATCAATGCTTTCAAATTGTATGCACCTCCTCTCTCTCTCTATATATATATATATATATATATAGAGAGAGAGAGAGAGAGAAAAAGATGTATCTGTAAAAGCTAGATCTATATGTAATTTATGTCTTTAAAGCTAGATCAGTATGCAGTTTAAAGCTCAATATGAAATATATATATATAAGTGAACATTGAAGTCAACACTCAAAGGCAAAAGGCTGTTTCATGCTAGACGCAATCATCAGGCCACTTGATATATATATATATATATATATATATATATATATATATATATATATATATATATATATAGCAGAATATTTTCATTCAAACATGTTCCACTGAATAATATAGACAAATTGAGTCTACTTATTTTTATATTGATCCTTTCTAGTTGCTAATGTTAAGATGAAATTCATCAAGAAGACGCCATGGTTTTATATATATATATATATATAAAGAAATATAGTCTTAAGGTGTGCTATATTTATGGGATAAAGTGCTCAATATCAGAGATAGAGCGTGTGTAAATAGTGAACATAGTTTGTTTATGCTATATGCAATCGTGGCCTGACGATTGCATATAGCATGAAACAGACTGTCGCCTCTAAGTGTTGACTTCTATGTTCACTTTTATATTTATATATATATATATATATATATAAAATATTTGTGAAATTACATCGATATGCAATATATATGCATATATTTGTTTATAAAGCTAGATCAAAATGAAATATATATATATATATATATATATATATATACATATATACATATAAAACTAGATCAATATGCAGTTAAAGTTACTTCAATAAGCAACATATATATACATGCACACATGTACATACATGAAGCTAGATCAATATGCAGTATATATCTATAAAGCTAGATCAATATGCAAACAGCATACTTAAAATAAAACAACAAGCATGAAAAGATATGATAGAGAATGCCATTAAACAATCAGGAAAGTGGCCACTTATTCATTCAAACGAGTAGTAATTGTTCGACAATTATAAATCTTTAATTCTTAAAGAAAGGCCAAAATATTAAAAAGAAAAACAAATACACGTCACATAAAGAAAACAACTGTTCCCTCCTCTACTGAAATAAATAAATTAAAAATAAGAAATAAAAATAAATTAATCAATAAGAGAAGAAAATAAAAGAAAACAGTAAAACAATTTATTTATCATTCCCTTTTTGCCTGTTTTTTTTGCACTGTGGAAAGATAAGAGATTTTTTGAAAATGATTACCTACTTGTCTTAATAAGGGGTTCGATTCAATTTCCACCCCCTTGAGGCTTCATGTGCTTTTGAGAGGTGGAGAGGAGTGTGGTAGAGGAAGAGTGAAGGAGAGAGAAAGTAAGGAAAGTGGGGAAATGTAGGTGGGGGTTAAATTGAAGAGAAATATGTGACATAGGTAATTACGATATTGTAGTTTTGATTTTTGTTTCTTTTGTGGAGTTGTATGTTTTTCTTTGTCGAAAAAGAGTGGAAGAATTTTCAGAATGGGAGAATGAAGATAACAGAGCCAAGTGTCTGTGATCAAAATAAAAAAAAAGAAGAAATTAAAGAAATGGGAGTGCATTAAGAAGAAAGTGATAAACTGAATCGGTGGGGTAGGGGGTATGCAGAATGAGAAGAATAAAAAGAGAGGAGGTAGACATACAGAGTGGGGAGTATCAGAGTCGGGTTGTCGGAGAGTATAAAGGAGAGAGAATGGAAAGTGATTTGGAAGAGGTGAAGAAAGAGGAGGACAGAGAATGTAAAAGGAGAGAGTAAAGAAAGTGACAGGAAACAGGTAAGAAAAAAAAAAGAGTACAAAAATGTGTTCTGCGCAGAGATAGGAAAACGAGTACAGCAATATGCTTTGTGCCAAGATAATAAAAACGTGTACAGAGATATGCTTTGCACAGAGATAGAAAAATGAGTACAGTAATATGCTTTGTGCCAAGATAAAAAAATACAAGTACAGAAATGTGGTTGGACAGAGATAGGAAAATGAGTACAACACTGTGGTAAATGAAAGAAAAACAAATACTTGAAGAGAGAAAGAAAATAATAAGCACTGGATAGAGACATAAAAAGAGAAAATCAGATAGAGTAAATGAAAGAAACGTTAACATAAAGAAAGAGAGAGAGAGAGAAAAAAGGCTAGAACATGATATAAGATAGAAATGGTAAAGTAACAGATATAAAGAGAAGAAACACAGGACAATTTAGAGTGTGGAGGAAATTTCTGTGGGGAAAAAATATCAAAAGGGAGATGTTAAGTCTATAATAAAAGTTGATAAGAATTTCACTTGGATAGACTTAGAGGAAATTATTGCTGTTAATTATCAATTGTGATGAATGTTTGTGAGAAATACTCTCACAGACCGGCATTGTTATTATTTTACAAGTATTTTAAATATCTATATGCTTGTTTGATCTGTGACAAATAGAGACCTGAGAATATGAATGGTAATAAAAGATGATAAAGTTTGCTAAGGAATGGGTTCATTGGAGAAAGGTAAGAAAAAAAATGAACAGAGCTAAAAAAAAGTGGAAGAATACAAAAGTGTAGGGGGGAAGAAAAGAAAAAAAAGCATAAAGTAAATGAAAAGGAAGAAAATAGTTTATAAAAATAAATAAGATGTTAAAAAAATGTAAAGTATGAATATAAGATAGAAAATGGAGAAAGAAAACAGAATCAAAGGAAAATGGTGAAATAATAAATGGAAAAAAATAAAGAAAAAAGTTAGAATGAAGTAAAAAGAAGAAGAAATTAAAAGAGTGAAAGAGAGGGTATAAAAGTAAAGATGTTAAAGAAAAGAAAGAGAATGAAAAAGAGAAAAAAATTGCAGGAGAGATAAGAAAAATGAATGAAGTAAAAATTAGAAGAAATAGTGTAATTGAAAGAGAATGAAAGAGAAAAAATCCAAAAGAAAAGATGCTAATAAAACAAGAAAGAGGAAAAAGTAAGGAAAGATAAATAGCATGCCTGAATGAATCAAAATGTTGAAAAAACAAAAAGAGTGTGAAAGAGAAGGAGCATAAAAGTAAAGATGTTAAAAATGAAGAAAAAGAAAGTGTAAGAAAGTGAAGGAAGTAAAAAGTAGAAGAAATAGTGGATTTTGAAAGAGTGTGAGAAAAAGAATATAAAAACAAAGATCTTAGAAGAGAAGAAAAAGATAGTGCAAGAAAGATAAAAATGGAAGAAAATAGTAGAAGAAATAGAAAGAGTGAGAGAGAAAAAAAGAAAGAAAAAAGAAAGAATGTTAAAAGAAGTTGAAAGAAAAAGAAAGTCTAGGAAAGAGTAAAATAAAAAACATTTGAATGAAATAAAAAGTTGAAGAAATAGAGAAAATAAAAGAGTAAAGATGTTAAAAAAGAAAAAAAAGATAAAGAATGAGGAAATGAAAATACAAAAAAGATAAAAAATGAATGAAGTAAAAAGAAAAAAAATAGAGAAATTGATAGAGCGTGAGAAAGAAAGAGTATAAAGATAAAAATGCTAAAATAAAATAGAAAAAGAAATAGCAGGAAAGATAAAAAAAATATTTTAATGAAATAAAAAGTAGAAGAAAATTGGAAAATAAAAAAAAGAGAGAAAATGAATAAAAGTAAAGATGCTAGGAACAAGAAGAACAAAGAGCAAAGAAAGAGTCGGAAACATAAAAAATGAATGAAGTAAAATATAGAAGAAATAGTGGAATTCAAGGTGAAGAGAGAAAGTGAGTAAAGGTAAAAATGTTTAAAAAAAAATGAAAAACTAAAAATAAGATATGAATCTAATAAAAGAAACAAATTAGAAAAACATCATAAGACAATGGATTAAAACAACAAAAAGAAGATTCTGAAGAAAATATACAAAAATTTAAAATTCCAAAAATTGGATACAATAAATAAATGAAATAAAAAGGAGATAATTCATTTGGCAACAAGGCAGAAAATGTTTGTAAAAAAAAAAAAAAAAATCAGAGAAAAAGCCCCAAAAAAGTAAAATAAAAATAATGGCTGCAATCATCGCCAGTGTGTAAGTAAAAGCCATCACTTATCCCACTTAAAGCAAATTACATCATCTTTAGATTTCCGACTTCGTCGTCTCTTCTCTCCTCACCAATCTTTCACTGATGCTTGTTTTCTCTTTCGTTTGCACTCACTTTTTACCACCCAATTCTTTTAGTGTCGATATGTTTTTCTTTTTAATTTAATCTCTTTTAATCTCTCCATCTTTCTTTTATCTTGCTTCTTTTTCTCTTTTCATCACTCACTTTCTCTGACATCTTTATCTCATCTTCTTTTTCCTATCTTTTTTCTTTACTCCCTCCTCTTTTTTACTCTTTCTTCTAACTCTAACTCTCCTTTTCTTCCTCTTTCCTCCCTTCCTTTTTTACCCCTATTTTCCTCCTTCTTTCATTTCCTTCCTTCTTTTCACTCTTCCCTTTTCTTCTTCCCTATCTCCTTATCTTACTACCTTCTTCCTTCCTTACCTTCCTCCTTATTCCTCCTCCTCCCTCCTTTTCTTCCTTCATTCCACTTGTTTTTATACCTTATTTTTCCTTCTTCCTTTTCTTTTCCCCTCTTTCCTTACAACCTCTTATTCCTTTCTTCCTTACCTTCCTCCCTTTCATGTTTCCCTTTTCTCCTTACTTATCTTCCTTTTTTTTTTTACTCTTCCTTCCTCCCTTTCATCTGTTCTTACTCCCTATTTTCTTCTTCATCTATTCCTACCTTCCCTTCCTCCCTTCTTTTTTCTCCTTCACTCCTTATCTTCCTACTCTGCCTTTCTTCCTTCCTTCCTTCCTTTAATCCCCTGCTCTTTATCTCAACATGTTCATTGGTTTTATCCACAGGATTTGCAAAAATCAAGTATAAAATACAATAAATAAAAGCTTTGCCTCTCTTTGAAAATATTGTGTATAACCACTTAAAAAATTGCTTTTGACACTTTTCCACTTTTCCTGTATTTTTCTCCTTTTTTAATTATACTTATTTTTACCTACATGTTTTACTGTATTTTCATTCTTTTAAGTGTTACACACTTTTTTCCCTTTAAGAATGCCTATTGTATATGCAATCATCAATTTTAAAAAAAAATGTCCTCTTTGCCTTTCACATTTTGTTTCTTTAAATTTTCTTATTTTTTCCCTTCGTAGTTTAAATTGTTTTCTGATCATTTTTTTCTTTCTGTTTATTTCTTATTTCTTTGCAACAGATTTTTGAATAGGAAAGAAGAGACTTGAAAGAGGTAAGCAATTATATATACATACATAGATACATATGCACACACACACACACACACACACATATATATATATATATATATATATATAAGTTGTGTAGTTGTCAAATTACAATGGTGGGCACTGTATTTGATCCGGATTAGATTTTTATTGTTGTTTTGAGAGAAAAAATGAAAATGAATAATAGAAAAACCAATACTATAAAAAAAAATCCTAAAAGGATTATAATAACAATATATTTAATTTTTAAATTTTCAGGTGTTGAATTATCTTTATAATACACTGATTTGTCTATAAGGAATTATTTTTATAATACACTGATTTCTTTGTACAAGTATCCTCATCTTGATTGTTATTCTTAAAAAAATAAAATTAAAAGCAAAGGCATAAAAATTCCAAATTACACTTTAGGTAATATAAATTATTAATATATATTATTATCATTACACATTAGATAATATAAAATCATTCAGCTGAAGAAGCAGACAAGTGACATAAGGCTTCACATTTTTTACCTCTAGAACATGTAGCCTAGTGGTCTGGTTAAGTGAACTGAGTTTTTAGTTGGAAGTGAGTAACCTGTTGGTGGTGAGTTCAACCTTGCATCAGCCATTGCCAAAAAAATACATACAGTCTGGAAAAGCAAAGTAACATAAGGTTTAATATTCCAAGTTTCTGTTGCACATGTGGCCTATCAGAGAAAAGTGTCTGTTAATGAGATAAAGTTGTTTGACAGTTTGGGTGGTGCAAAAAAAAAGCAAAAGACAAGTGAAATTCAGTTTAATGTTCCATGTTTTATATGCAATGCATAGGAGAAAAGTGTCATTTAAGAGGTAAGTACTCTTCTCCATCTCAATATCAGCCTATCAGCTTCCTTAGTGTCATTAGCTAACTCTTTTAGGCCATAATCAATAAGAAAGTTGTTAAGCACCTCAACAGGTACAACCTCTTGAATGACAAACAATATGGATTTTCATTTGCTCAGTCTGTGACCGATATCCTAAGTATCATTCCTTGCTGAATCAGTCAGGCATTATGTTATAAGCAAAGAGTAAGTTGAGACTGGGGAAGCACCTAACCGATTACTCTCTCACTACGGGAGTAAAAGAGATGGGAGGTAACAAAAATCACACTGCCTCAGAAATCACAGCAACTTTAGGAACAGAGTGCCCATGGGACTGAACTGACAAGTCACAGTGTCTTGCTGACTGCTAGTTTTCCCATTTCTTTTATTAGCATGAGCCATTTTACAAAGACCTGGATCTTGACCAGCTTGTAGTGAGGCCTATATCTAGACATGCCAAGCTGTCTGCTAATGGGGAAAATCCGGATGTAACTGGTATGGACAAAAATGTCCACACAGGATCCAGGAACTCTTTTGCATCTTTACAAGCTCTCCAACTATAGAAAAAATGAAGATTTTCCATAGTTATCAAGCTGTCCTGGGTATGACATAAACTACATCCGTGTCTAGGGTAAGACGATAACCTACTTCCAACAGCATGGCCTCTGATCAGGAGGGTTTGAGGAGCATGAGACCACCTCTTAATCGCTGGTGTTCCCAGGTCCACCCTGACCTGGGGTGGTTGCACCTGTTAGAGTCCCAGCTATGGGCAAATAGTTAACTCCGAAACTTAAGTAAAAAGCATTATAAAAGTGTAAAAATAGGTTTTAATACCAGAAATACTTTGTAAAAAATTACTACCAGAAATAAATTTTTGAAGAAAACCAGCTTACCAGCAATATATTTTTGAAAAAATACTACCAGCATTACGTTTTTGAAAATAATATTAGCAGCTATACATTTTTGAGGAAAAAAATATTACTAGAAATAGATTTTTGACAAAATGAAATATTACCAGGAAAAAAAAGTTGTTGGAATTAAATAACCCATTGAGGTTGATATGCCATAAAACAAAACAAGCCAAAACCAAACCAGTTATCAAGTCCTTCCTATAAGGTAGATCCATGAAGGTAGTTGTTGATGGCCAATCTTCCCAGGCCCATGAAATCAATGCAGGTGTCCCCCCAGGTTTGATTCTCAGTCTAATCCTCTTTTTTTTTAATGATCTACCTAAGAGTATATTCTGATCTCTTGTGAATATCTATGCAAATAATACAATAGTACATGAGCGCACCTCCCCAAATCTTGAGGGCCAGAGCCTGGTAGCTGAACTCTCCCCTGACTGAGCTCTAATAGTTCAGTGGGAGAAACCAACTGGTTATATTCAATCCCTCAAAACTCAAACTTGTAATTTTCCATCATCATAGAGCAGACCTTGAATTACCATTTATTGTAATGAATAAACGTTCTCTCAAGCAGCCATCTTGTTTTGAATGCTTATTGAGACCTCATCCTATATCTCAAGTGGAACTCGTGTATATGATCCATAACTAAAGATACTGTAAAAATGTTCAGTTTCCTGTGGCACTTCAATAAGTAACTGACTCTATCTGCTATTCTTAACCTTTAGATGAGTTAGATCAGACTGAAAATGGAGCACTACTGCCATATCTGAGCTGATGCTGCCCAGTCTTCACTTTACAGCCTTGATAGAGTTCAAAAGCATTGTTTTCCACCATGCAACCACTTTCCTCCTGACGGAATGTTGTAAGCCACTCATGCTGGTGTTCCTATAGAAAATGTTCAAATGGGCTACATTCCTTAGTTCTACCAACTCAAGAACTCCCATGTTGCTGACATTGAGGTGAACAAACCTCGTTCCCTTTGTATTTCTGTGCCACTTCAGTAAATAACTGACTTCTCCTGCTGTTCTCTATTTTTACAAGATTCAGTTCAGGCTGAAAACAGAGTACTGCTGCCATATCTGGGCTGGAGCTGTCACATCTTCCCTTTCCAGTCTTAACAGAGTTCAAAAGTGTCTACACAGCCTTTAGGGTGATGAATTGTTTTCTACCTTATAACCCTTTCCCGACAGATGACATGTTGCAAACCTCTCGCTACTCGATTGCTATTTCCATGGCATTAGTTCCCCAAATATAACTAAGACCTGCCATGTTGTGTATATTGAAATTAACCAACCTCATTTCTTTTGTATTCCATTAGTAAGGAGTAAGTTCCATTCAGATAGCTTCTTCTCAAGAACTGTTGCTTTGTGGAACAGAATCCTAAGAGGTTGCTTTCTGAACCACTAAAATATTAACCTCTTCAAATCTAGGAATAACAATTATTTTTTCCACATATACACATAAACTGCACCCTTACTCTTACCACTCACATAACTGCCTACAATCACCCTCTATCTTGAGTGGATCTTGGGCTTTGTATAGGGGGAACATAATTTAAAAATAAGAGAAAGAAAAAACGTTGCCTGATCATCATGTGTTCCATATGTGTGTTGGGGAGTATAAAAAAAACAAAAAAAGACAAGTGAAATTAGGTTTAATGTTCTAGCTATTCTATAGGACACATGGCCTATTAGAGAAAAGTGTCAGTTAAGGAGATCAAGTTGCCTGAAAGTTATGAGTTCAATCCTTAGGTTGGGTAGTGCCAAAAATCATTAATCTGAGAAAACAGTTGCATACAGTTGACAGTTTAGACATTTCTAAACAAGTTGGATACCATGCATGACATCCGTGTGAGAGTCTAGACCTAACGAGGCTATTTAAGAACATTACTTGAGTTCTTGACTTGAGGTTAATGCTTTGGTTTTGTAATGTTGGATGAAACTAATACAGCCTATTTTATGTTTCGTTTTCCTTATTGGCTATGCTAAATTTGCTATAACTGATCCATACACTGATGTATTGCAAGTGTTTCATATTTATTAATTCCTGATCTTGAGTTTATATAAGCCAGTAAAATTAGGTTTAATATTCCAAGTTTTCAGTAGGATATATAGTCTATTGGATGAAAGTGTCACAACAGTCATGAGTTCAACCTTTGGGTTGGGGAGTGCAAAAAAAAAAAAAGAAAAAGGCAGCAACAACTCTGTCACTATTTCCATGGAAAATGTTCTGTTGAGCTACATTCCACCATTTTAAATCAAAGATTTAAAACTAGGACACATCATGTCATATACACAGGGGTGAACCATCTTCATATTCCAGTGGTAAGAAAAAGTTCCATTCAGAGAGAAACTGCTTTGTAGACTCCTATGAAGATGCTTCCCTAATCATTACAATCTTAACCTCTTCAAGTCTCAGGTGGACCATTATGTATTCTTCATAGTCTCATAATCTCACTTGTTCTGTCTTTCTATGTCTATACAACAACTTCATTTAATTGACATTTACCTTGAGTGGAACTTGGTCTTCAAATTGGGTGAATATTTAGTAAAAAAAGAAGCATAAAAAATAAGCTTACTTTATAGACAGCATGCTCAGGTACTGTGTACATGCCTCAATAATTGCTCCTATATTGTAGCCCTGTACCAAACAAAGGTAAACTTAATAAATATATATATATATATATATATATATATATTGTGTATTTAGGCAGCAATCCTTTTTTCATGCACGTTCCATTGAATATGACAGACAAGGTGCTTTGATTTAGTTTTTATACAATTTCTCATATGATCTTATCATTTTTTTCTTTTCAGTAGATAAATTTATAAAAACTTTCCAATTGTTCTTTCTTTCTGAGCACTTTCGGCTATACATTTAGCCATTTTCAAGGTTGAAATATATTAACTGTTAACAAGAAATAGATTGTTGTATGTATGTATTTAGATAATGTTTTCATTTTCAAAACACATACGACAATCTATTTCTCCAAAATGAAAAATTATAAGATCACATGAGAAATTTTATAAAAACCTAAATCAAAGCACCTTGTCTGTGATATTCAAAAAGAAACATATATATATATATATATATATATATATATATATATATATATATATATATATATATATATATATAATACTTTTACATTGATTGCACACCTCGAAGTTTCATGCTTTCTGCAACTGTCAGGTGTGAATTTTGGGGGTTGACCCTAGTTTTTTATTATTTCTAGTTATTGCGAGATATTTTATTGTTAGGCCGGATTATTATTGCTTTTAATTATTTAAATGAATAGTCATTTAATTTTGGATTTGAATTTAGGCGTAGATTAAAATAAAGTTGGAAATGAGAATTATAAATTCTAATTTGAAAACTGATGCTGTTGTTATTGAAAAAAACATTTTAAAAATCAAGGTTGGTAACTCTATTTTTTTCATGAAAATAAAGAAATTAATAATATTATTAATATTAATAAACTTAATAAAATTAGGGATATTAATCGTAATAATTATGCAGTGAAAATAAAATTAAAAATTAATTAGTATACTAATAAAATAATACATATCAATGAAAATAAAATAAGATAAAATAAAAAATATAAATAAGAACATATAAATATGTAAATAAATAAGAATGAATAAAATAAATTATATTAAATAACTAAATAAATTAATAAATAAATCAAAGACATTTCTGATAGTAATACTAAAGGTAAAGTAAAAGTAAGAAAAAAACAATGATAATGGCTATATATTAAAAAGGTAATAATATAATGAAAATGATAGGTTAGCAAAAAGATGTTAAAGGCATTCCAGTCTAATAATAACAATCATATAGCAAGGGTAGTAAAAATATAGTAAAATATTAATAAAAATAAATAATGTCAATACTAGTATTTGCAGTCTGGCTAGACTATATTAATCTGGGTCAACATGTTTGAATAGAAAATTAGTTCTAGGTACACACATGCTCATTAACTCACATCGTTGTTTAAGGATTTTTAAAATATTTTTCAGGATTACTAACTTTTCAGAAAGATATAAGTTACATCTGTTGCTTTACTCACAAAAGGTTTTGGCTTTTGTTACTGATTCCCAGATGATAGATGGGTTTTTATTCTCGCTTTTCAGTTTCCTGAAAAATTTAGAAAGGGCAGTGCTGTTACTATATTTGATATGGCCTAATGTCATTTGGTGGTGGTAGTAGCACGATTTCCAATGATTTTCTGTAGAGCCCATGCTGTCATCTTTATAAACAAATGATGTGGTCATACATTGCCCACTTTTTCGGAACAATGATTAAAAATGGCCTTGAGTGAATGAAAGCTGTAGATTTTAGCTAGGAAAATCCTTCTTTGAATCTTGTGGACTAGCACTAAATAATCACAAAGAACTGTAACTAATAATGACCACCATAATAATTAGTTCCATACTATTTTAAATAAAAGGTTTGGAAAGAAGCCTCCATCAGTAATGGAAAGGGCCTCCAAAAAAACTATCTTCTTGAAAAATTGTTTCAATAGAAAGATTTTATAAATTTCAACCAAATGTAGCATTGCTTTCTCAGTCAATTAATGCTGAATGTTTCCTTATAAGGAAGTGGCTAATATTGCCATTAACATTAGACTTGAAAAGAACATATAGAACAGGGTTCATACCTTTTCTAAGGGATTTGCTTTTAAGTGAATTTCAGTCAGTTATGTGCCATGCATGATACACTCTTAGGTGACTGATGAGGCAGATTTTTTTCCTACAGTAGGTTGCCATTTCTTTCTACGGTAAACCTAGACCAGTTGCCATCCAAGGCTTTAGAACCTGGTCTGTCCTGCTATTTACCCATAGCAGGAGGAGAAGAAGAGGATTCATACCTTTCCCAAGGGTATTAGCACATAAGTGAATTTCAGTCATGTGCCATGTGTGGTACACTCTTAGGCGATCATGTATTTTTTTCATACATGACTGATGAGGCAGATTTTTTTTGCAGTAGGTTGACATTTTTTTCTGTGGTAGACCAGTTGCCATCCGAGGCTATAGTACCTGGCCTGTCCTCCTATTTACTCATAGCAGGGGAAGAGGGGGAAGATTCATACCTTTCCCAAGTGTATTAGTACATAAGTAAATGTAATGGATTTGACTGGAATTCGAACTCAGCTCTTTGATTTCTCTATCCAAGCCACTATCCCTTACACCACCGTGCCTCCCAACAGGAAACTATTCTCTTTTTAATCAGGAAAACTGCTTTCATGCTGAGCATGCTTTACCATTAGGCCATGAACAGCCTTTACAGTTTATGTAATAAACTTCTTGAATTTGAACTTGGCTCTCTAATATTTCATTCCAAGCTGCTAACCACTGTGCCACCCACACATCCTCTGTCAAGGGGGATTTACATAAATATAATGCATCATTTGGCAATTAAGTAAAAGTATTGCAGATTGATATTATATTGCAAAAATGCAGCCTTAAAGAGGCTATAAATAAATAACCGCATGGATGCATATCTGATGTGTACGTTCTGATCAACTTTAAAAGAAATTGCTGTTTCTGTTGCAGATTCTTTCGTAACATGGATAAAAATTTAAGAAAATTTTTTCTCAACATTGTGAAGAGGAATGTTGAATAAACTGGCCAATCTAGTCACGCTGAAAAACTGAGGATGAAAAATATAGGTCAAAAAAATTTTTTATATATTTTTTTTGCAATTACATTAATTTGTGAATTAACCGAATGAATTGCCCTCACAATTTGATTGGTAGAAAATCAGAACATCTAACCTGCTTTCTTTCATCGAAGAGTTACACTGGAGTCAATATGACCTATATTGAAGCAGATGCTTTGCCAGATTCAAATTATGAATGGTAAAAGATAAATTGCAGTTTTTTTCTACCTCTCTTTTTCATTTATTTATTTTTATTTTATTTATTTTTTATTTATGTCTTATTTTATTTATTTATTTATTATTTTTATTTATTTATTTTTAATTTTTATATATTTTTATTTCATATTTATTTCTTTTAATTTAATTTATTTTATTAATTTATTTTTATATAATTTATCAATTCATTTTATATATTTTACCTATTATAGTTAATTTTATTTGCTTATTTATTTTAATTTATTTATATTTTTTTATTTATTTTCATTTTATTTACTTTTTTATTTACTTTTATGTATTTATTTTTAATTTATTTTATTTTATTTTTTGTGGCTTATATGATTTTGATTTTATTCATTTATTTTATTTAGTTCTGTTTATTTTATATATCTTTATCAATTTTTTTATTTATTTTACACATTTATTTATTTTTATTTGTTTTATTTTTCATCTAATTTTAAACATTTACAATGTTCAGTAAATTGTTTTTGTTTTTCAATCTTTAATTAATAGTTCAAACAAATTACATATGGTAAGCATTTATTCATCAAAATATATCCCTTTATATTCAATTGTCCATTGTCTTGTTGTGACAAGAGTTCAATTCCACACTTATACAGTTTGGCTGGCTTAGAGGCAAAACCTCCTTGCACTCATTTTCAACATCATCCAAGTTGTTGAACATCCGTCTGTGCAGGAAATGAGCAATGGTTCAGAAAAAGTAGTAATCTGATGGTGCAAGGTCTTTACTATAGGCAGGCTTAGGCAGCACTTCCAACCTCTCAAGATTTTGCTTGGATACACTGGCAGTGTGTGTTGGGGAATTGTCATGGTGTAGGAGCACGTATCTTCAACTAACCAATGTCAGGTAGTGGGTTTTCAAAACATCATATACCCACTGCAGTTGTTGAGCATTGATGTAATGGAATAACCAGTCACCCCCATGAATAATTACACTATAAGTAGCAAGTACCTATAAAGTCAACCGTCTATGAGAGAGAGGAGAAAGTGAGAGAGAGGACGCAAGCATATCCGACCTTCCAATTAGTGGCACTCACTACTAGATAGACCTGTGTGCATAACTGTACCGTATTTCATATTGTACTTGTTGTGTACAGTAAACCTTTATTCTATTATCCACCTGGTGTTATGTGTTTATTCCCTTAGCACGGAATACAATAAGCATAAAGGTCAGAATTCACAGCATGATGATCTATGACAATCTTAACACCTAGAAGTTTCACCAAATACACAAAATGATGTTCTGTTCAAAACGTCTTTGTTTGAAAACAGTAGCCTGGCTTGAGTGTAGCCACTGATTTCTCTTATAAGTATTATACAAATAGATTCATTTTTCATCCCCAGCTACAATACCAAAAGTGGGCATCTTGAGAATTTGCCAGCAGTTGTTTGCAAATGTTCACATGTTATTGAGTCCGGCCATTGGTCAGTGCATGAGGAATTCCTCAAAAGCATTTTTTCAAATGGCTAACCTTTTGGAGGTGTTGATTGATGGTGCTACATGAATAACCAATTTCTGCTGACAATGTACAAGTGCTGTTGTTCTAACATTTCAACCATCCTGGGTATGACAATAAACTACATCCAGCAGCAAGGCCTCTGATCAGGAGGTTTTGAGGAGTGTGGAACCACCTCTTAATTGCTGATGTTCCCAGGTCTTCCCTGACCTGGAGTGGTAGCACTCTAAGGAGTCCCAGCTATGGAAAAATAGTT